CTATAATAAATATAATAATAATAATAATATTCCCAACAATATTAATATTATACACTATATTATTATATTCACCAAAACACCACCAATAATCCTCCCACATTAGGGACACCCACCAAACATCACCAAATACACCCCCACCAAAGGGCACACCAACACATGATATTTAAAATAATAATAAAATGACTAAATAATTAAAATGGGTGTTACACCAAAGATCTAACTAACCCTAGATGCAACTAGCTGAACGAGTCAAGCAGGGAATGAACAAACCTGGAGAACTGAAGAAGGCGACGAAGATCCTGGAACTGAAGAATGTTGAAGGAGCTCGCGGAGATCTTGAAGATTTCTGGAGGATTCCTCGTAGATTCTTGAAGATCACCCAACCGGAAGATACTTAAAAATGAACTGGGTACGTTGAAGGTCTTCGAAAGATGATTAAAGATCTTGGTTGAAGGCGTCGCTGGAGATCCGACGATCTTTGATGAAAATCGTTATTGAAGCTTAGACCAGTTCACCGGAGATGATACGCGCTGATGTTCTTTGAAGGGAACGCCGAGGAGATGAGTCCTGATGGTGATTTCTGGGAATTTCTGAGGTTTCTGATGAGCAAGATGAAGATCTGGAGATCTTCAATAATCTGGAAAAAATGACGATCCTGACAAATTTTCCGGCGAAAGAAGCAGTTTCCGGCGAGAGTGGGTGAAGGTAGACGATGAAGATTGAAGGAGATCGGATGTGTTTCTGGCGAAAATGCAGATTCCGGCAGGTTTACCAGACTCTGGCGGTTAGTTGCGGCGGGGATGGCGGTGGCTGCATGTGCTCCGGCGAGGGGTGGATAGTGGAATCCAGGTGTCAAGGGAATGGTTGAGAAAGGGACGCGTGTGGAAGGAGAGCAGGGAGAAGGCAACACGTGTACGCGATGCTGGCAGAGAGAGAGAGAGAGTGGAGTCTGGGTGAGGTGTCAGTGTGTGGAGTAGTGGGAGTTGTGAGGTGGGGTCCTTGGGTTTACACGCGTGGCTGAATATATACTTGACATGTGTCACTTTCAATTTTTCTGGACTGAAGAAAAATGGACAAAAATGATTGAGATGAACTGGGCCTCCAACCTGCACTGGGCCCAACGAATTTGGCCTGATAAAATCTGAATTAATCTAATTAATGAAAAATGATTAAGAAATTCTGAATTAAAATGATTAAACCTAATTAAAACTAATCAAAGATTAAACCTAATTAACTAGTTAACTAATGATTAAACCTAATTAGTTCTAAAAACAATTAACTAAATGAAAACTCAATTAACTCTAATTAAAATCTAAACAAAAGATTAAATCCTAATTAAATCTAAAAGATGATTAAAATCTAATTAAACCTATATTAAACCTAATAAAAGAAATTAATATCTAACACAAGATTAAATCTATATTAAAAATAAACTCTATTAAATCTATATCTACAAACTATTAAATCCTATAATATCTATTAACTATTATTCTACTAATCTATTAAAACTCTATTTAAAACTAATAAAAGAAAAATCTATTATATTCTATTAAAACTATTAAAAAACTATTAAAACCTATTAAAAATTCTATATAATTCTAAAAAATGATTTAAAACTATTAAAAATATTAGGAAAATCTATTTAAATTCTGAAAAATCTAAAAAGCCTATTAAAAATCCTACAAACGGCTATTAATCCTAAAAAATGCAAACATAGGCAAATAACCAACATAAAGAGAGCACGAGACCAGATTAAAGCAAACAGTAAACCCCTGGCATCAGAATATCCCAAAAACCACCATGGAAGCTGAAAACACCGAGAAACGCACAATTTCCCGAAAATGAAACCCTGATTATCTAGACTGGATCTGAAATATCCGGTAGATGAAAACCAAGCTGTAACCCTGACACCCTCTGTCTGTGTACAAATGTCATGCATCTGATATGCAAATACGAATTAAACCACGAACCAGATAGGAGAACCGGTTGGTCAAATTTTAGGGTGCAACACATACGAAGGCGAGTTCCCCTGTTGACGCCAAACTTCTCATGCATAACCGCCTTAGAAACTCCCAAATCTCATGTAGCAGTCATACATGCAAAGGACATGCTAAAAACAAGAGCCGTCCATAATCTGTCACTGATTGGGAAATGGAACAATGAGGAGACATCATCCATAGTGATAGCTATCTCCTAATATGGAAGATGAAATGAAGATATCTTCTTGTGCCACATCTCAACAAACACACTAAGTTGTGGAGCGTCAAGGATGATGAGGGAGCAGTGTGTAAAATCAAGCAGCTTAAACTCCCGTATATTCCAGCTAACCTACTCATGCACCAGAATCTTCGTGAAGTCCTTCATCTTCGACCCGTGCAATATCAACTTTAGTGTGGGACGCTCTAGTGACAAACAAATATAAACAAATTAGTAGTTAGTTTTTATGGCCCAATAATAAACAAATTAGAGTTAAACATAAAATATATATACCTCTCCCTACCATAGTCGTAACGCCACATGGTCAGCATACTCAGTAAGCATTGACCGATCAATGGGTCCTCCAAGGAATCCTCCATTAATATGCATAGAAGGCTCAATCGAAGGAGCTATAACCTCCGTGTCAGCAGTAACAAATGCGACAACATCATCAACAACAACATCTGGATGGACCACCCAAGCAACCTCCTTCAAACCAATCTCCTAAACAACCTCTTCAGCCACCAAATCAACAACCAAATCTACAACCTCCTCAACCACCATAACATCAACAACAGTATCTGGCACCACTTCGTCTCTAGGCTGCTCTACTGATCATACCAGTCGACGTCGAGTGTTATGAGGTGTCCAAAACTGACCATGCTCAGCCAACCGCTTCTGGTGTGACCTTACTCAACACCTCTGACAGCCTTAGCCTGGTCTGCTGCTCGATCAACAACTCTCCCTGCATTAATGTTGTCTCTGCCTCTATATTTCACTGCAAAAGAATGATTTTTAAATAAAAAAATATTAGCAACTACCAGAAATTTTGGTAAAAAACAAAGATTTTGTACCTACCGAAAATTTCAAAATTTTCGGTATACAATCTCATGGAATATACCAGAGATTTCAGAATTTCCAATACAAAAATGGGTTTTTATAACTACCGAAAATTTTAATTTCCGGTATATTCAATGGGATTTTATACCGGAAATTTTAAAATTTTCAGTAAACATTTCAATATAAATACTGGAAATTTGAAAATTCCAGTACAAAATACCGAAAACTTTAAAAAATTCGGTATAAATACTCACTATTTTTGAAATTTTCGATACCCTGCTCCAAATTTACGGTATTGTCCCAGAAGTTTTAAATTCTCGCTTGTGCATTGTAAATTTCAAAAATTTTAAAAATGATATTGCAATGACAATGTCGTCTTTTCATATGCAATAGGGGTGCCAAATTTAACTTGAAGGTGTCAAGTTAAATGCTCGACTTAGGAATATATGATAGATTAATGATAGAGAAAAAAAGGGAAAACAAGATTTGATTCTATATAAAAGTTGTATTTATTAGATGTAATAGACATGCAAATTTAGGGATGTAAATGGATATCCATGGAGACGGATATTATGGTATCTGTATTCGCTCCGTTGGATAAATATGATATCCCTATCCGTCCCATATCCATGCAGATATCTGTTAAGCGGGTAATCCACATGTTTTACGGTATCCGCGGATATTTACAAATATCCATGGATAATATTTTTTTTATATAAAAATTATGTTTTGAAAAAAATATTTTTAAATTCTTTTAAAGACACAAAACGTTAATATCACATAACATCTATACAATTTGCTCTTAATTTAACAATAAAATTTCATCACATTAATTTTCTTCTTATTCACCAAAACATAATTAGATTCAAACATAATATTTATACATTTTATTTTTAACCAAACAAATAAATGATATTTCGATTGTGAGTTATGAAGGAAGAGCTGGTGTCAGAGGAACAGGAAGAGAGACACTGGTTCGATAGAGGAATGACGACACTAGTTAGTTAGACTGTGAAATTGTTGAAGTGAGATATGAAGTATTGAAGAGTTTAAATATGAAATGTATAATATAATTTGAATGAAATGTGAAAGATTTTCTTAAGAAAATTCAAAAGAAAGAAAGAAATATAAAAATAATTTTTTATAAGATAAAAAAAGGATTTGGATCCTCTCCTTTTTTATATATCATGTCATCTCTTATGTTTCTAATATAATGGTTCAGAACTTATAATGAATAATTAAATAAAAAAAGTCATTTATGGTTGTTGATTTTGTGAAGGAACAAAGACAAATTACTTATCCATTTCTCTCTCCTATTAAATGACTTTTTTTATTTAATTATTTATTATAAATTTTGAACCGTTAGATTAGAAACATGAGAGATGACATGATATATAAAAAAGGAGAGAATTCAAATCCTAAAAAAGTATAATAAACTAATGAATATTTAAATGATTTTTATAATTTATTAAATGATAAGAATATTCGTGGACACGCATATCATTAAATCTGTATTCATATCAATTAACAATCAGATATTTAAATATTTATTTATTTTATCCGTGTATATTTATTAAACTATCCATCCTACCCATTTTATATTTGTGACGGATTTTATCCTAAGATATTCTTAGGTACCGATTTTTTTTCACCCCTATGCAAATTCTATCATTAGAGATTACTGTAAATTTTTTGCCTAAAAATAGTAAGAAGAATTAATGAAAAATACAACACCTAGATTTTTGTTTCCCTCCAATCCAACCCCAAACACAACATTTTTCTCTCCTCTTCTTATCCTTTTACTACACACAACACACGCCCCCAACAAAACCAAATTATCCCTTTTCACTCTTCTCTACTAGAATCAACATCACTTCCGTTCTTCTCCTTTCTTCCTCTTCTTCAATTCCTCACAAACCGAATTCAATCAAATAATTTCCCAATTTCCACAAAACCCTAACCCTATGGAACTTTCTCGCCTCTCACTTTCCGACAACCACTTCTTCTTATCCTCACCAATTCACCGTTCTTCTTGGACTCGCCCGCTTCCCGCGTTACCCGCATTCCTCACTCCCCCCCGCCGCCGGAGAGGTTTATGCTCCGCCTCCAACTCCGACACTCTAGTCGCCGCTGCCGCCAAGAAGCACGGAGAGGATGACACTGACTTGAAGACGTGGATGCATAAGAATGGCCTCCCTCCCTGTAAGGTTGTTCTCAAGGATAAACCTTCGCTTGATGATAGTCTTAAGCCTATACACTATGTTGCCGCTAGCGAAGATCTTCAGGTTTGTTTCATTCACGTGTTTTCTTTTTCAATTCAATTTTCTGTTTGTTTATTGATGTGTTTTAATAATCTATGAAGTAAGTACAAGTAATTTGGATACAACACTAACATGTAGACATTGATAATGACTTAAGAAATGAAAATGTTTGAATCAAACCACCTCAATGGAGCTTAACTACGGTGTGTTTGGTTTTGCGGTTTTGCGGTGAAAAATTGGTTTTGGGTAAAAGTGATTCGAAGATACAGTTTATGTTTGGATAAATTCTTGCAAAAGTGAGTTGAACGTAAATTCCCGTGTATGTTTAAACTCAAAAGATACAATTTCTAGCTTCAAGAAGAATCAGTTCTTGAAAGCAAAATCAATTCTACTCGAGAGCAACCAAACATGTCAAAAACAATCCTAGAATTCTAGAATCAATTCTAAATGCTTCAACTGTGTAATCAAACATACACTACGAGTTGATCATTAATCCTTTTAATTTGAAATGTTTTGCTGCATGTTTTTCTGATAGAAAATGGTTTGCATTGACGATGCATATCCTCCAAATCCTTGTTTAATGAGTTTGGTTGTATGCTTTGTAGAAGGGGGATGTTGCATTCTCGATTCCAAGTTCGTTGGTTGTGACTCTTGAGCGTGTATTGGGAAACGAGACTATCGGTAATTATGCAATTCTCATGATTCATTCTGTCATGTCTTGAATAGTGCTTCATTCCATTATTGTAGAAGAATATGAGTTGCATAGCTTTTGCTTAATTTTTATTGATTTAAAAGACAGGAATTTAAATCGTCTGAAGACAAAAAGGTATTCGATACATTTTTTTGATTGATATATAATTTTAGTCCTTATATGTTTATATTCATTTTTAAGTTGGTCCTTGTATGGTTATTTGTTTAAATAAATAAATTGTTGTTCTCTATTTATAACACTGGGATGAAATTTTGTAATGTCAATGTAGAGTACAACAAGGGTCGTATTGAAAAATGATTGTCGTACTATATAAGAATGAAAAATATAGTATTTGTAGTCCCTATATGTGACGATCATTTTTTTTTAGTTATTTTACTTTGGCGTATTATTGTTCCAAGTCTCCAACAGATGGTGTTAAACAGAAACAGACGGTGGTAGGAGAACCAGTTAAAATGGTTAAATATGTAAGGACTAAATTGAAAACATGTTTCATGTTGGGTCTAAATTGAAAATGAGTGTCACATATAGAGACTATAATATATTTGAACCCTTTTTGAAGATACTAGGAGAATTTGATAAAAGGTATTAAATGCTTTTGATTAACATCGGTTAGCAAGATTTTTTCCGGCAAGTGAAAACAATAATTTGTTGGTTTTCATGTTGCATGGATGCTGATTTGATTTCAACACGAATATGTCCACTAAGATCGAATATTTATTTGAGTGACTTTAGATATAAAGTGGGTTTAACTAGCTTGATTTAGTACAAACTCTTGTTATATAGCGGCTAGTACGGTGCTATAATATTGCAGAATTTGAACAAAACGCTATTTTCCGTGATTTGTGATTCACAACAGTGATATTATGTAAGCTTAGATGAAAAATATTTTTTTGGTGATATAGTACATTCCTATGGTTAATCATGTTAGTGTCAGAAATGTATTAGAAATTGTATTGAAGATGTTTAGGTAATTGGGGTGACAAAACATGCATATTTGTAGAAATGAATATGGCAAGCAACTGGCCTTGGATACATTTGTAAGGCATGCAAATGGTGATTTTTGTTCAATTCATACTTAGTGAATGGATGTCATTTTGTTGTTCAGTTATAATAAAAATTGTGTATCGATGGATGGTAGGTTTATTAAAGCATTTTAAATTTTGAAATAAATTATCCTGTTTTTGTCCTTATTGCAGCTGAGCTATTGACCACAAACAAGTTTTCCGAATTGGCATGCTTGGCCTTGTATCTGATGTATGAGAAAAAACAGGGGAAGAAATCTTTCTGGTATCCATACATTAGGGAGCTTGATCGGCAACGAGGCAGGGGACAACTGGCAGTGGAATCACCTCTTTTATGGTCAGAATCTGAGCTGGCATACCTTGAAGGAAGCCCATTAATGGTTTTCTGCCTACCTCCCTCCTTAATTAGTGCCAAACACTAAGTTCATGCTACTGATATTTAAAATATTAGGTTGTTTAATGCTTAATATTTTTCAAATAAATTCAGACTAACTTCTGGTGGCTGTGATTTAGGATGAAATTGTTAAAAGGATTGAAGGAATAAGAAAAGAGTATAATGAACTAGACTTAGTCTGGTTTATGTCTGGTTCTCTGTTTCAGGTAATTAAACATGCACTTGAACTTTTCCAGTATAACACTTATTTAATATTTACATAAGTCATTTAGTGCTTACTTTGTATGTATAATGCAGCAATACCCATATGACATTCCCACAGAGGCTTTTCCATTTGAAATTTTCAAACAAGCTTTTGCAGCAGTTCAGTCATGTGTTGTGCATTTACAGGTAAGATTTACTTATCGGTTACATATCTATACAGATAAGAATGTGCTCAAGAAAACTCCAGAGTATATAATGGCTAACCAATTGATGAAATCAATGTCAGCTCTACATTTTGCATGTCACATTTGGCAATGAAAATTACCTCAATCTGAAATGGCATAATCATTTATGATACAATTAAACATTAGGTTGATAAGCTCTAGACCTAATTTATTCTTTCTAGTTTCCAAATATATTTAACTGATTGCTGGATTTGGTGAAGTGGTGATAATCTAATTTAAATATAAAATTTTACTATTGGATTTTCCTTACTTTTGCATTATACACTAATTTCCTTCTAATCTTTGGATAGTTGTAACCATTATATTCCCTGATCAAACATGCATATTATGCATATTATGTATGTATTTATGCAACCTTCCTTCTCTTTCAACAACTTGCCCTCTCTTTCAACAATGTGCGGGTTTTTATTTTCTGTTTTTTGAAATCAGAATGTTAGTTTAGCTCGGAGATTTGCTCTGGTTCCCCTGGGACCTCCTTTGTTAGCCTACTGCAGCAATTGCAGGGCGATGTTATCTGCGGTTGATGGTGCTGTCGAACTTGTGGTTGATCGCCCATATAAAGCTGGGGACCCAATTGTTGTGTGGTATAATGTTTGCTTCATTTGATAGCTATAATTTTAAAAAAAGGATGTAGTTATTTTTGTATTAGTAGCTTCATTATAAGATTTGTAGTTGATCGTCTTTAGGTGTGGCCCACAGCCTAACACAAAGTTGCTTACAAACTATGGCTTTGTTGATGATGACAATTCCAATGACCGTCTAATAGTTGAGGTATAATTTGGACATTCTCTTTGCTAGCATCTAGTGTTTTGTTGTTTCAATTCAACTTTAACCTTGCTGATACACTTGTCTTAGGCGGCTTTGAGTACCGAAGATCCGCAATATCAAGAAAAAAGAATGGTTGCTCAAAGAAATGGAAAATTATCAATTCAAACTTTTAATGTATTGATACTAAACCCTTAATTTAATTGAAGGTTGCCTGGAGATTCTTCTCGTTAATTTCTTAGCTCAACTTTGGTGCAGGTGTATACTGGGAAGGAAAGAGAAGCTGTCGCAGATATGATTCCGTATCTGCGTTTAGGTTATGTTTCAGATCCTGCTGAGATGCAATCTGTCATCTCCTCTGAAGGTCCAGTTTGTCCTGTAAGTTTGTTTCTTGTGCTTTCTATATCCGAATTTGAGGAATTTTAAGAGTGCCTCGGACCAAAATCTAGTTTTGTCATGGATATCAGCAAAATCAAGTCCTGTTGATGTCCTGCAGACTTGCCTATTTCATATTTTGCTTTCTTGACTTGAGGTTCTGATCTGATCGTGAAGCATTATAATAAATGAAATCTTGTTTTAGTTCCTTACTCTTTTTCTAAAAATCGTTAAAAATTACTCTAATCTAAGAAAATAGAGTAAATCTTGTGATGTGAAAAGTTGACTCTAATTATTCATTCTAGATGAGCCCATGTATGGAGCGAGCCGTGCTGGACCAGCTTGCTGATTATTTTAATTCCCGGTTGGCTGCCTACCCTACAACCTTGGCTGAAGATGAATCTATGGTACTATTTGTTTGAATTTGAAATTGACCAATATTTATCAACTTTTCACTTATAGTTTATATATTGCTTTAGCTGGCAGATGGTAGTTTGAATCCAAAGAGGCGAGTTGCTACTCAACTTGTAAGGCTAGAAAAGAAAATGCTTCATGCATGTTTGCAGGCAATCACGGATTTGATAAACCAGCTACCAGACCATAGTGTATCGCCATGCCCTGCTCCTTATGCACCTTCATTAAAATAAAAGGTACAATTCTCTCCCTCCCTCTCTCCTTCCCTGCTATTGAACATCTTTATAATGTTTTTTCTTGAACTTTGCAGTAATTCCTGAATTATTTTGTTATCTGATTGTGTGTTGGACTTGTATGGAACATAAAGTTCCCGTTCATGTTTTTCAAATTCATCAAGAAATCGCAATATAATAGTTGAGAAAATGAAAATGTTTTGACAAATAAATCAATATATGCAGATAAATATACAAGTAGAAAAAAAATCTAATGTGTGTATGGGTTTCTTTCTTCAATCGGGCTCCAACGCGGACCCACCAACTTACTTTGATTCAAATCCACAAGTTTGCTCCAACCAAACACTGTCCAGGATTAGATCCAGACGGTTGAAATTCCAGATGTCTGGACCAGACCCACCTGTATTGGCCGAGACACTTGAATGACCTGCCTTGAAATTCCAGATGTCTGGACCAGACCCACTTGTATTGGCCGAGACACTTGAATGACCTGCCTTGAAATTCCAGATGTTGTAAAGCAGTCATAATAATGGTTGTATAACACAGAGATAGACCCACCTGAACCTGATAGGTGTGTGGCAATACTCTCATATATCATGTTTGATCCCTTGACACATGAAAACACAAGCGTTTAGTAAAACTTGCTTTCTTCCTTGGTTCACTTGTCCTTTTCTCAGAGACATCCTATCTTATTGTTTTGTTAAACTCACTGAAAGACAATTTTGAATTGGAGGAAAATGGTTTTCTTTCAAATAACTAATGGAGCAAAGGATAAAAATGAGTTCCAACAGCCTATCACTGAGTGGTGAGAATTAAAGAGCACATTGGTAGGTCTGGTTCGGAGCAAGTTTGTGGGGGACGGGGCTCCGGATTGAAGCTCCGATGATGGAGGGATAGTATCCCTATGCACGTCAAACGGATGATAAAATTTAGGCTAAAAATTGGAATTTCTTTTTGTACATTTATCTATACTTTATTTAAAATATTACCATTAGATTTTTTCCTTGACTAGCGATTTATTGATGAATGTAAAAAACATGCGTGAGTATTGCCACTGAATCCTTCACAAATAATCAATACCTTCTCAGGGCATTAGAAAGGTGTACCTCCTGCTCATGTTGTATAACTTAAGTTTTTGTGACTGAAAATGTCTGGTCCCAATTCTCTTTTGTTAGTTAAAATAGGGGGTTTGCGCGGGCATGTGAACCATTCACTTTGTACCGCTAATGAAACAATAGTACTTAAAGGGACCTAAGTCACATTTACTATTGAGAGTTGCCAGAGCTCCTAAAAGACTTGTAGCAAAACCTGCCGTTGGACTTGATTAATCAATAATCAGAATTGTCCTTTAGTGTTTTCATTATTGTAATTTTCTGATTGTTAAAAAGCTGTATAAATTGAAATAATAAAATTAAATTTTTGTTTTCTCAGAATAACCATGATTGCTGTACTTAGAACAATGATGCTATGCCTTTCAAAGTCCAGATTAAAAGGGGTAGTTCAAGTATTTTCTGCAGGCCGCATCAAGTAGGGGAGCATCATTGAAGCACTTCCCCCCTAGAAAATGTCGAACTGTGGTCGAGCAAATGATTCTAAATCTGAGTGTTGGGATGATAGTAATCTTTGTAAATGGAAATATGTATCACAAATTGTAATTCATTTGTGTATATATTTGTATGCAATTCTCAGGATCATATTTGATCATTTTTCTTACTTTTGTACTTTGAGCCTGCTCGGCGTGGTTCACTTTAAAATTGTTACAAATATGTCAAATGTCATAGAAGGTTTTGTTTGCTGAATGTGGTATGACATTGGAATGACATAAGACATCTAAATAACAGGCATGAATTTTTGTTAATCCCCGTGGTGGTGGTGATTGTTCTGGCTTAGTATCGTGTTAAAATAGTAGTTAATGTTATGTGAAACGGTCAGAAGAGATCCTGGATCAATGGAGTAAGTTTCTGATACGGCAGGGAGGATACTGACTGCTAAAATTAGCATTCTAATTTTAATGTCTAAGACAGTGAGCAAATGAGAAGAAATGTGAGAGCTAGAATGAATTTGAATATTTGAAATCACACATTTTACTACTTTTATATTAAGAGTGATTGAAATTGATTGTGTGTGATGTGTGTTGTGTGGGCAATTGTCATATTAGAACAAATGATGGTTGATGAAGGACGGAATCATCTGCTACTAGTTAGAACAAAGGTTTATTTGTATTTGTTCGGTGTATTTTTGTACTTGAGATCTGTTCGAGTTTTTTTTTTTGTTGGTCTTGTTAACGACTCAACCAAAAATGGTGTGTTTTTTACTTGAGATCTGTTCGAGTTTTTTTTTGTTGGTCTTGTTAACGACTCAACCAAAAACAACTAGAGATAATGCAAACGCTTTTTATGTTGTAAATTTATCTTCTCAGTGATTTATTTTTCTTTTGGGAAAATTAAGAGTTGCCTACACATTAATATTGATTTTTTTTTTCATATAAAGTTTTATATAGATTGATAGAATCGGATGGAGAAAGCAGAATGAAAATGATATTTTATTGTTTGGATCATTTAAAATCGGATAGAGCGGAGCGGAATGAAGTGGTGTGAATTTTATTTCATTATATCACTTAATACTATATTTCTTCCGCTCCAATTTGAGTGGAATGAACAACCTCCAATTTTCAAACAATAGAGTTAGGGGTGTACATGAGATAGATAAATCAAATAAATCCAGGAAAACACATCCAAACTAACCTTAAAAATGGATTGAGTCGAGTAATTGGGTAAACATGGTTTTATGGTGTTTTAGTTATTTAAAATCGTTGAAGACAAAATTTTCCTTGTTAAACCATGATTAACTCACCCATTGCTACATTAATGAGAGTCTTATTTGTTGCAAAGAATTGCCTTACAAGGATTAATGGTGTCTTGGAAACACTAAGTCATCGACTTTCACTAGTATATCTTCAAGAATTTCATAAGAGTATGTGATCGATCTATCCTCTAATGTTAGCGTCATATGAGTCAGTTTTGACTTATCACATTTTAACTTTCTCATCATGGACAATAACATCATATTGAAGATAGCTCTTAAATCACATGGAGCATTGCTAATAGTTAGCGAACCAATACAACAAGAAAAAGTGAATTTACTTGAATCAGTGAGTTTGAGTGGAAGCTTCCTTTGAATGATAGCATTACACTCTTCCGTTAAAGCGATTTTTGTAAATTATGTGTGTTTTTAGTGTGCTTTGAATTATTGATGAGTTGGGTCAATTAAAATAATTAAGTGATGTAAAAATTAATGGAATTATTTAGAGTTATTTTAGTGATTAAATAATAAGAGTATTTATTTAATTAGGTGAATATAATGAAATATTAAAATAATAATGAAAATAAGGTGTAGAGGAATTAAGGGTAAACTAGTAAATTGGTAGCATGAGTTGGAGGCAATAAAGAGAAAACGTAATTAGGAGGAGTATAGTTATTAGAAATAGGAGAGAAGTGGAGAAAGAGTCAGTTTGCATATTTGTCGCAACTGCGAAAAACCACCAGCGAAAAAAACAGAAGAGTCGCCACTTTCGTTATTTATCCCAAAGAGAGGGAAATGAAACGATCGCAAAAACCTAAAGAAAAAGGGAAAGACAAGGTCATCGCAATCATGTCTGGATTCGGGAGTCGGTTACGCAAGGGGAAGGTATTAGCACCCCTCACGTCCGTCGTACTCGACAGGATCCATGCATTATTGTCTATCTAAAAGGGTGTGTTGATATTATCTAGCTAAAGGCTTAAGGACAAAAGAAAAAGAAAAGAGAAACTGACTCGGCAGAGCATCACCGCTCTGTGCCTACGTACTCCCTCGTGCAATGGGAAAGTCAGAGTCAACGTAGTTCGCTTAACTATGGCTAAAGAAAGGGGGAAATGTTGCTCGCCGAGATATCGCATCTCGTGCCTACGTACTTTCGTCTGGTACGAAAGATCAGAGCAAACGTAGTTCGGGCTCAAAGGACCACAGGTTAGTTCAACAGTTTTTTAGGTCCGAGTAGGGTTAACAAATAGTTCTAGCAGTTGGTGTATGCAGCTCGACCATTGGAGACTTAGGCGTTACCGTTTGCGGTAGAACTAGGAGTTAACGACACTCTTTTTTTGTGAAAAGATTTTCCTGATTAAGAACCCCAAAGGGTAAAAAAGTTTTGAAATGTTTTTGTGTTTTTTAGAGAAGAAGTGTTTTGAATTTGATTTGTAACTCATGTCGCACTAGAGACTATGACCTAAGAGCGAATGCGTCGTATATCACCTAAAGGGTGTACACTAAACACTCTAGGTCCTTGAGAGGAGGCCCCTCAATTACCATTTCTCAAGTAGCTTAAGGCTCGTAGCGTGCTACACTTGTCATTCTTTATTAAGTGTTTTATGAATGTTTGAAGATGAGAAGAGAAGAAGGAACACTAATGGGAGACTAATCAATCCTAAAAGTTATCATGCAAAGTGGACTTAAAGTTGAGATTCAAAAGGGAACTACCTAATGTTATCATGCATATTTAGAACCCTAATGTCTATCATAACTTCTCTTGAACAAGAGAAGTTAGAGCTCCTAAGGGAAAGAAGACAAAAGAAGAAGAAGAAAGACCATAAGAAACATGTAAATGAATGAATGCATACATAAAATGCACAAGTAGAATGATAGTGGGAGGAAAATAGTGTGGGACAGTAGCCACCACAAGCTCATCTCAACCAAGCATGCATATGGAAAAATTCAAAGAAGAAAGGAAAAGAGAATGCACCAAACACAATTACACAATGCACATATGCAAAAGGGAAACATACAATGCAAGCATGAAATGGAAAAGGCATGAAAAATAGCAAACAACTCCTAAAAATACCAAATAAAATCTCAATGGACCCTCAAGATGTTATGAGCCTAGGGTAGAAAAATCAGAGCCTAATTCAAAGTTTAAGGTCACTTTCCAGAGGCTAACCTAAGAGGTGTCAAAGGAAAATCTAAATGGG